AACGAGTGAGACTTCAATATGCTGATTCAATGCTGATGCCATTTCGATCTCGCATCGACAACATACGAAAAGGAAACGGGTCCCCGCGCTTATCTGCGCGCTGTTCACGCGCTCTTTAAAAACCCGTCTCCTTAATACATAGCGAAACTATGTCCGAACAAGATTTGTCCTCGAAGTAATAAGGACAATTGTCTTAAGATTCGCTTACGCAGACTGTTCGAAGGAAAATATATCGATAATGAGACGATTATTCCGTCTACGAAGGAACTTGGAAGCGACTTTTCCTTTCGAGCGACGATTCGATATATTGAGAACTTAATCCGTAGAGAAGATTTATTCGCGATGGAACTTCGCAATTATAATTGGACACAATATTTCGTTACATCGCCAAGGAAAAGCCGATTGCCAGAATGCTCCAAGACTCCAAAAGCCCTTCGCTAATACATCCCCTTTCCTCGACGTCCCTTATTACATCTGCATATGTGCAACGCATATCACATATACGAGAAACATGCGACGCAACACGTTTACGTTTGATAACATGTCGATTAATTAGCACCGATCGCGATTTTTTGTTCCTTCGGCGTTGTTGATCAAACGACGCCAGGTGTAACGAATAACATGTCGAGACGCATCGACGAAGCGCCGCTTTTGCAGACAGGAAAATGTGAAAGCGACGCTAAATCGCGGCGAGCACGCAGTCACCGTCACGGAGAGCGAGCGCGTGACTTTCGCGCAATTCTTCATCACAATGTGTACAATCGGCATCAGCTGCCGACGATGCTAATACTTAACGAAACTAAATGCTACAGAGTCGACAAGAAGTAATTACAGGTATACCTTGGTCCGCTTGGCCGCGTCGCCGTGATTTCGCGTCGTTTCAACTATGTTCCACCGATGGGGAACAACATTCGCAAAGCAACGATCGCTTTTCCTCAATTGCTTTTTTTTTTTGTTACGCTTAATAGAGTCCCGTTCTTATTCAACCGTTTAATACCGCGGTGCCACTTTGAAAAATTGAAGTCCGGGAAGACACCCGTTTAAGACAATTTAATCGACGAATTTCAAAAGTGACTGATATCTTTACATATATGACTGTAATTATTCATCGGTTGAACTCGGCGAGATTCTGTGGTCAGCAATATTTGAGTACTAAGTGGTTTCTACCCTCTTGGATAGATTGTACGTTCCCTGCGCTGAGAAGCTAAAACTGACATTTCCGTGCTAAAAGTGAAATTCTTACTGAAAAAGATTCTTACAGCGATAAACCAAATTTTATACCGACAGTATTATATAACAACGCCAATATATATACTGCACAACGCCCGAATGCCACTTTTTGTTTTAAAACGCTTCAAATCTGAAATATACACTTGGAAATTGCATTAACGACCAGAATCGATTTAGCACGTTTCTCAGTCAGTTTTTATCGCAGGCGAGTGTTCAAGAATTCACTTCGATGACGGCGTATCTAACGAAGATTATCGTCGTACAAATTCTTTTACATCGCTCTTGCTTGGTTTAATACCCTTTCAAATAATACGCGAGAGACTATCTTCTCTCGTCGCGCACAATTCTTCGATCTCTCGCGGATCATGCATCACGCAATACAAATTGCAATGATGAACGTGATACTGTGCTTCGATGCTCTGAATCATTCACCATTACACGCTACGCTTTCTTTTCGATTTAACTCTCTATTGCCCTATGCCACGTCACTGTTTTATTATTATCTCCTTTCTTCGTGTTCCTTTCTTAATAAATTAATAATTTTAACTTCAAGTTCCAATATGGGAAATCGTTTCCAAGCTTTACGTTTCCAAAAGCACAGATTTATTTTAATTTATTGTGCGACATGCTTTCCTCTGAATACTAAGAGAGACAACTTGGGCGATAGAGAGCTAAAAGTCCCATGCATTCGGGACGGATGTGCATTCGAATGACCACCCCATGCTCGATGGCATTATATCCTCGCGCACGCTACAACTAGGACATTGTAAGATCCGTTCGTAACTATAAACGAATATTATATATAGCGACAAAATATATACGTGGGACCGTAAAAGCCCTTTGTGAAAGATTCCGGAAACCTTCAGGCTTGATTGCGCGACGGTGCAAACTTCTGTTCTCGCTTACATAACTCGTTGCTTACATCTAACGCTGTTTGTGTAACTCTTACGTGTGATATCGATAGAGGAATGCGCGTGTCTGGCGATCCTGTTCCCGTCCTAATGGGCTAAGATCATTTGTTACGAACGGAACGCGATGATCGCAGACGTCGCGACGACAGGTACAAGTCAATCGGAAACGTACGAGCCGTGTGTTTCGAAAATAACGCAAGTCGCATTTTCAGTTCAGATAAGATCGGTCGACCTAATCGAAGACGATCCACGGAAACTTATATAGACATAGTTACACTAAGTTCGTTTGTGCCTCTTAGAATTAACAAGATCGTCGTTTTTGGGAATTAAGTTAATAGTCTATCGAACACGCTCTTGGCAATTATCAAAACAAGACACGCACAACTCGTACAAGATCAAATCTGCTTCCGATCGATATACTATATGCAATACTTGGCGGCTTCTCCCGGATCCGATTTTTTTTTTCTCGACGATACGCACTGCCTGTCCGATCTTCCTCGCGACACTACATCACGCTCATTCCCGTCGACTGGAATGGATTACATCATTACATGTACTCGTACTTGATTAAATTATGACGACGTTACTCGTGCCATGTCCGAAAGTATTGGAAAGTGCCGAAAACGAATCAACGAATGAACGAACGAGCGAGTGAACAAATCTACGTCGAACTGAATGCTCCCTTCCTTGTTCGTGCACGGGTGTGTGTATTCGTATGCCGGCCCTCTCTTCGTTCTATCGCTTAAACTGTGTAAAGTATTTCTTTTTAGGAACTTATAATACTACTCGTGGCCGCCGACTGACCCGACGGCGACTGTTTCGTTCGCGCGGGTTCAACAAAATGCGTCTACATGTCGCGTGTCCGTGTCAAAATCAAACTATATACATACATATACATACTCCGGCTATACCCCGATAATCTTGTGCGATCTTGCTTTCAGTCGACGATAACTTAACGCTCTTTCTTCCCTTTTCTCTCTTTCTTTATCATAATTTATCTAAATGCGCGCGCGCTTCGCCATCAGCGGCTGATTATAATCGAAGGAGGAACGCTAGCCGCTGCAGCGTAAAGATTCTCTAGCTGGGGTGAGTCGAGAAGACCAACGTTGTTCGTTTTGAAGTCGACGGAGCGGTCGCGCGTGTCCCCGATCCTCGCTTCTCATCGTGGAATGTCGTAGACGGAGCAACAAGAAAAAACTTTTCGCGCTGGCCATGATTCCGCTTTAGAGCCATGGTACTTGTGTACGTCTTTAAACGACGAGAATCATGCGGGAAATATACACTACGCTGTATACCAGACTTCCGATAAGAATACCACGGCTCCTCCGCGGGACGCGCACACCTGATCGCTCCAGCTCTGGCCGAGAAGAAAAAAAGAAAAATAAACGTGCAAACCCACGTAAAGCGCGCGATTGAGCTGATCGGGTCGTTGTCGTCGTCGTCTGCTAGTTAGACCGGGCTATCTTGTCGAAAGACAATCTCTCTCTCTCTCTCTCTCTCTCTCTCTCTCTTTCACTCTCACTCTCTTTCACTCTCATTATTCTTTCGATCTGCTGCTACTAATCGATCGTATGCACGACAAACTCTTCTTCGGAGCGTCAGGGTCCGACTGGACTCCCTTTTAAGTCTCGAAGAAATCGCTGATCTTGCGCGTACAAGTTTTATCAACGCCCGCGCGTGGACTTCCGGTCCTCCACAGCCCTCTCTTTTTTTCCTTTTCTCCTGATTTTATTTCCCCTACTTTCTACCGACACTCGCCGATCTTCATCCACTCTCGAACACGCTTGTAAGATTTTCTACTTTATCACAGATGTTTTATTCTCGATTTTATAACGCCCTGCCTATGCCTACAGCTCACTCGGTAACAATCAATCAGGGATCCTAGTATCGTGTTTCCCCCGTGTTGTTCGAATACTATGCATGATTACGCTTTCAACATACATTTCCCGTGTTGATTTCTCTATCTTCCTGTCCCTCCCTGTGCTTTGTATAGCCAACACATTACAATCACAGCTCTCGCCTCGCCATTTATGTGCAAGAAGACACGATCACACGCTAAGGCCTGCCTTAGTACAAAAATATACATTCGCTTCTTAAAAAATAGATCTTAGCATTCTGTACTGGCTAGCGTTCGTTTGATATTTTACAGTATTTTGATTCTTGGCAGGCTGCTTTAAGGGTTTAGTTTATAATATCGGCTTCTGTACGAGAACCGCCGTCGAGTGAGCTCTCTCAGGGCTTATTCCGATCTAAACGCTAGCTTGTGCACCATCCCTTTGTTATTTATTTCGCTTTCGCGACGCGCATATTCATAAATACGTTCGCATCCGCTCGATCGCAACGGCGAAGCGATTTAGACCAGGCCGAGGTGGAAAGCAACGTGGAAGGAAAGCCGCGTCTAAAGCGCAGTGGAGAAAATACCGTGAGGAAAGACGGTTACCGCGTTCAATTCGGAACGGCGACAATTTTTCTTCTTTTTCTTTTTTTTTTCGACCGGATGTGCTTTCCGCGTTCTGCCTCCTCTTATGAATATGGCAACGCGTGGCGGCAACGTGCAACCCGCTCGACTTGTATACACCTCCTTCGGCAGGTTCAGTCTTATGCTTGTGGTTTTGTCGTTATCATGCTAGCGACACGTGATTACATAATTGCGTTGTGCCCGCGTCGAGCGGCTGCACGACCGCCTTTCTACACATGATATTACTTTATTACAGAGGACTCGCAGAGATGGTACTATCATATCACTTGAATTGTTTCTACGAATCGCGGATATCTTGTTATTCAAAACGTGCGATATCATCACGCTCCGCGCTCTCGAATAATTTTCTTATCGTTCTCCCTTTATTCGTACGCTATTAAATTTGTTCTCGCATAATTGTCGCATGGTTTTTATTTATTCTCACATTTTACTCTCACTTTCTCTCTCTCTCTCTCTCTCTCTCGCGCTCATTTATCACACTCACACGCTGGACACCGCGTCCCCGAATATAGTTTTTCTTTCTTTTCTTCTTCACGCGAAATTTCCGTTCGTTTGAAAGAAAAACGAGAAGAAACGTAAAATTACTTGGTAAAGTCTTTGTTCCGTCCGCGTAGTATCGGCGGTCAGCGGACGAGTTTTTAGTCGATTACACTCGCATTCGTACGGTAATTAATCTTTACGACTTTTGGAAACCCCTCGGTCGGCTCCTCTCGTTTCGCGTTAGACTTCTTCCCTTTCTTTCATCTGATGTAAAAATATACACGCGCGGAATACGAAATGAAAGGGCACGAGCGTGATATACCTTAAGTTGATGGCCATAGTCCTGGCGAACGTGGGCGCGTGTGCACATGGCGTACCGCATATTCACGAGGACGACAGCCGTTTCTAAGGTGTTTAATCTGGTTATCTCTCTATGGTGGATGTCGCGTGACAGATTTTCTCAGTGAATTTACCCTTATCCGCGACTCAGGTACATATTAAGGCCCGTTCATCTTGTATAACAGCTGGTCGTACGTCGAAAAGAAACGCTTTTTCTCCACCTCGTATTTTTATATCCTCCCTCCTTTTGTGCTTCCCTTATCTCTCCCTTCTTCCTCTTGTATATTTTTTTTCCGCACGCATCTCCGCGTCGTTCGCGCGTGTATCCAGTGTCTCGAACGCATGGAGAGATATATGTACAGAAACCACATATAAAAACCAATATTAATACACGTGTGACTATAAGTTACGATACACGATAATGTAATATAATTATACAAGGGCTCGAAAAAAGTAAAGAACCTCTCGGAATAGTAAACTGTGTGTATATACGGCATATACGGTTACATTTTGGTATTTTATCTTTGTTACGAATAGCGCTCTCTCTCTCTCTCTCTCTCTCTCACTCTTTTCTTCTCTCGCTTCCTTTCTCTCTTTTAAACACGCTCTCAGAATCGTCACTGTTAATCGCACGACAGAAATAGATGCGCGCTGCGTCCGGATGTTGACGTGTTTAAAGTTCGATAGATAATACAGTTATACATACATATACATACATATACGATTAGCGGTTAATAACTCCGATTTTACAGATACACCTACATTCGTGTATGTTCGTCATCAGCGGTCGCTAAGAGCACGATGAGTATAGACGGTTATACATATATTTGCGTTACTTGTTCGATCGCTACTCATTATCACCTATCGAAAGTTATACATAGACAGGTGGTGGATATATATCAAGCGATCTTTTTCGTTTCGTTTTCGCTCGCAACTGCGTTCTACGTACTTCGTCGAGCGGACCGCGCTATGTTAACATTTGTACAAAAGCGTCCGATTGGTCTTGGTATTAAAAATAACCTCGGATCGCTGTATTGACTTCGTGCTCTCTTTCTACTTTCTCTTTGTCTTCAAGACTCTTTATGCTCTTTATGATCCGCGCCGCTCATTTCGACGAACTCTTCGCGAAGTCTTTTACTAGATATTTACTCTCGCACGTCATGCTCTTGGCGCTCGCTATCACCTAACTTCCCAGAGAATTGGAAAAATATGTTGTTAAACGCATTTCTACTTACATACGTTTGTGGAATTTTGTTATTCTTTCCAGTGGAAGATCACGAGATCCGAACCTCTCTCTCACTCTCTTTCTTTTTCTCTCTCCTACGTGTTGCACACTTTTTCTTTTTCTGCTGGACAAGTCGTTCGTATCCTTGCTCCAGCTCCGCTTTGCGTGGTACATCTCTTACAAGATTCACGACAGTCTTCTTACATTGCGATCTTGTTCTCAGCTACGTCGTTCTAATGTGCCGCTCTCTTTGACCAGAATAATAAATGTAGTTATATAAAATGTATTCTGGCTTCTTCTGGCAATATCGACTTAATAGGCGAGAGGGACGATATACATTTACATATCGCACTTAATGTGGTAATGTACGTTCGTAATCACACTCCTAACATCGCTTTGTTAACATCAAAGCGCAACTCATGGTTTTCCATAAAAAGAAAACTATAGTGCATATAAATCACTGGAGAGATCGTCTCTTAGTTGAAGAGATTATCTCATCGTTTGCAAATGTGTTGTAATTTGCATCAGATATATCATCAACAAGTCAAAAGTAGATCTAGTTTGACTACAATTTATCACATTCATTATATATAATAACCGATAGAATTGTAAACGAGGAGAAAGTTATGTGTGCGTTTATCTCTCTGTATCTCTTACACATTGCACCCAGAATTCCCAACTCGGAAAACGATAACGCTATTGACGAGATTTCGAACTTATAGTGCATATTCGCTGTTCGATGTTTCACCCTCGTTAAAAAAATCTTGTAGAAGAATAAAAGATGTAATTTGATAACATTACTTCTGAGAATGTTAGTGGCCTGGAGATGGTTTTTGGACAATCACACTGGATAGAGATTTTCCTTGGCGTCTGTCGAGAATTATTTCTGATCACTGAGAACCAACGGTTCAATCACTTCTCTACTATCGCCATTGAAAGGATCTAATATCACTTTTGGCAAATCTGAGTCACTCAAGGGCCTCCAATGTGGACCCATTATATCCCGAATTTCCTAAATGTTAAAACATTTAATATTTTTAAGATTATTCGGTTTCACAATCGTTAGTTTCTTAATTGTACAAATGTAACGTTTAATTTCTTACATAGAAGATAGAAAATATAGAAGGCAGAAAAAATATAGAAGACATTTGTCAAAGTTTTTTTTGTATACTCACACGTCTGATATTTTCAGCTTCGAACCACAATTCAACTTCAGATGTGATATCACTTTTTGCAAATACCAACGATTTAAGAGTGTTGCCTCTTAGACGCGCGATGGCCAATAGATTCTCTTGATAATATTTATGACCCAGGAACATCATCTTTATAAGTTTATTACACTTCCATGCCACTAACACCAAAGGATCTGGACTATAATGGAATTATATACAAATTAAACTCTATCAGAGAACATATTAAGTCAAAGTATATAGAACTTTCTTACCCATGTGGATCGTTTGGATCAAATGTAGATGGTATACTCTGCTTGTAATCTATCGAATCTACCCATGTCAATGATTGCAACGTATGTGAATACCACATTGATAATCGATGTAACGCACTGATATTAATGTTTTCACAGAATAGAACTTGTAAGTGTGTCAGTGGCATAGCAGGACATAATATGTCAGTATCCAAAACCTTGACGCCGGCATAAGAATGTATAAGATTGAGCCTTAACTCACAATGTGGGCTGCAAATAAATAAATATTTAGGTACGTCCTTTTTTAACTATTACCTATTCTTGTAAACGATCAAAATAATTTTCAATGACTATAGTGTGACAATTACAGTAACTCACTTTTTTTGAACAAATATTTTCCAAGCCATATTTGTTGTTCCTGGATAATCCGGTTTCCAGCCATGTATATGAATCACAAGTCTCTGCATACATCCATTATCTAACGCTTCCAACAAAGCATCACTGACATACTCATAATCTAAAGTTAAGATAGACAATCTGATAAACGAATTAAAAATAGTGTTATCAAATTCAAAGAAGTCATAATAGTCAGGATCGTCCTTGATAGATGCCAGACTGAGGTGTGTTAAATGTTTGGAGTGATGAAGACGGAGAGGTTCCACAATTGCAGATAAATTCATAATCAACTCTTCCCTGCACCCTAGACTTAGGACTTCCAAACAATTAGAAGTCTCAATAATATTTATCACACATCTTTCTAATGATGAAGAACTCTTGTAATTACTAAAATACAAACAAAATCCAACTTTATTATTTATTTATTAAATGTAACAAGAAAGTTGATTTGTATACTAACTAAGATTAATACCTGTCATTCTCGTTGTCAAAAGGAGAATCACTAGTATTACTATAGAATTCCAAGCACAATTTTCTCAATTGTCTATTGTGACTTAATTTCTTCAAAAGCCTATACGTTTCTCCTGTGCAATTGATCTTTCTAGATCTAGATTTAGCCCAACGAATCGTAGCTTCATGTACGCTCAGAGCAAAACTATTTGCCAAGAATCTATAACAAACATGCTATGTGTACCGTGCAACACTTAATGAATCTGCAAACAGATGATAAGTCTTACGAACCGAGCCCACAAAACACTGTCCTGATCTCTGAACACAAAAGTGATTTTTTTCCAGAAGTTTGGGTGGAACAAGGTGTATCTCCAATTTTTGCACACCTATGAAAATTGAACAGGTCCAATGAACAAATTTTATATTAATATTAAGCATAAATTTGTTTTTTTTTTCTTTTTAGCTGAATTTTTTACATGATTCATCTTTTTCCTTTTCTCTCTATATTGGAATAAACCAGAAAAAATGGACCATGCAAGTCTAGCTAAAAAAAATAAGCCTATTGATTATAAATAAAAAATAAGCATATTGATATAATAAAGATAACACATAGAACTTTCCAACAATCATTTTTACTACACGGTATAAAATTTTATTTACAGAAACATTATGTGTGTTAATTTGACAATTTTTCATATCACTAAAGATCTAATCTCTATCATGTTGACAAGGTTTATCGCTATAAATGATCGTTGGCATTTCAGTATCAATATATCCAATATACCATTTTGTTGCTCGATACAATAATGCAGAAAAGAGTTATATATAAAGAGTAACGATTCCCTTTCTCTTCGCACATATAATACATATATATATATATGATAATGTTCGTAAACTTTTACCCATGCAAATAACGGTTGAGCAAGCGTATATCAGACGAGAAGCAGATAGCGGATTCTCATTAGTATACATTCCGTCGCACAAGAAATATTCTTGCAAATGACGCGACAGCTTTATCGGCCACACACAATGTCAGGTCAGTTTACAGCGCAAACGATCGTGAAGAAAAGAAAAACAAGAGGCAAGGCTCACATATACAGACAACATACACGCGCACGCACGCACGCACACACTCTCTCTCTCTCTCTCTCTCTCTCTCTCATATTCTATATACCTGAGAGGCTCTTATTCTGGTCTCGTGCGACAAATATGAGAATATCTCCTGCAAGATAACGGTGGGCAGGTTGTCCCAGGACGGGCCGTGGTCCTCTTGCTCCATTTCTGACGTACGACATGCAGGCTTGCAGGACGAACAGCTGTTCGTCGCGCACAGCATAGACAGCTGTCCATCGCACTTCCTCGACGTCGCCATCTCCTTCGTCGTGTTCGCGTCCCCATTCCCCGACGCCGTCGCGACGGCGCCGCTTGTCGCCGCTCGGAACTTCTCCAATCGTACATCGGACGTGTCGTCGCAAGCGCGCATCATGTTCAGCCAGCCGATCGGCCAGAATCGCGAGCCATCCGTTGCTACGCCGTTCGACCCGTCGGCGATCGCAGCCGCGGGCGCGCCGTTCACAGCCGAGACGGGCATGTATATATACATATATTATATGTACGCGAGCCGATGTGTGCACGCACCGAACTCGCGATCGCGACTTCCTCGCAAAGCAAACGCGAACTCACTCCCGTAGAGGGGTAGAGGCCGTGGAGTTGTGCTCGGTGCTCGTGCGCTTGCCCCAACGCCCCCAACGGCCCCAACCAGCTCCAACAACTACCTCAACTGCCGCGGCCTCTCCTGGCACTCCTGCCAGTCCTGGCTTTTCTCTGTCTCTCCGTCTCTCACCGACCGCGCGTCCGACCGTATCGCACGCATGGATGTGAATGTATATGTATACACGTAACAGGGCTGGATTCGCGTGCGATTCACCCACGGGTCAATGTCAATTTCCACTTGCAAGGAAATTCGCGAGAAAGCGTATCAGCGATTAAAAAAACCAGAGTCTGAGAAATGGGCTGAGGAAAAAAGTAGAAAGACGGAGGAAAATAATTGCCGGTTGTCTGCAAAATTCATGAAAAAGATAAGAATATATTATGTATTATAGGAACCTTCCAAGACAGAAAAGCAAAATTGAATCCAATTTCAACCTTAATTCCATTAGAGTTTGATGTTAAAATTTGTGTAACGATAAGAGAGAAATATAAGCTATCTATTTGCATTGCTTGAAATCTCCAAAAATTTGTTGATCTTAAAATGAGA